TAGTACGAAGTCGATGACATACTCGCGCTTGCCTGATTATTGGATTCTAATTCCATTGTTTCTATTGAGGAAAATGAATTGGTATCTGTAGATGTCGAGAATAAAGTCGATTCTTGAATCGCTGAATTGTAGCTATCTCCATGGGATTTGGGATATTCTGTTGTCAAGCCCACGTTTTCTGAGGTGTCAGGTGTTGAGTACTCTCTCGTTGCCTCCTTAGAGATAATTTCGTTCGGTTTAACTGACGTTGATAATTGTGTCACATCCTGAACTGTCAAACTTTCTGTATCAAAGGATGCGTTGGATGATTGCAGTGTCGAATCTGAGGGCTCAGTGAGCATTGATGTTGATGACACTTCTGCAGATCTAAATGATGTTTCTTCATTAATTATGGTGGATATGGAGGATATTGCCATCGCCTGATTTGTTATTGATGTGCTGGAAGATTCTATTGTCGATGTTATGCCTTCAGAAGCTTCGGCTGTTGACAAAAGTTTAGTGGATTCCAGTGAAGTGACTTCGTTGACAACCACTGACGTCGAAAATGATGTCGTATCTTTACTAGTCGTGCCTTCTTTACTAAAGGATTTGGTGGAATATTCTATTGTCGATGCTACACTTCCTGAGACGGTAGACGTTGACGACAGCTCCAAGGATTCCATCGATGAGTCTGTGCTCAGTGTCATTGACATCGAATGATATTCCGAGTCCAGACTTGCTAAGCTTTCTGAAACATAAGATGTATTGGAATATTCCATTGTCAAATCAATGCCTTGAAAAGAAGTTGTTAGTGATACCTCCGTAGACTCTAGTGAAGTGTATTTATTGAGTATCAAGGATGACGGGAATGTTGTCTGGTCTTGATTTGTTAGGTTGTCTTTTGTCATCGTTGTGGTGAATAATTCCATTGAGGATTCTATGCTTTCAGCTATGTTAGGTGTTGATGAGACTACAGTAACTTCAGGTGAATTTAATTCGTCTGCGATTGCGGAAGCAGTAGGTTGTGTGGTCACATATATTGTTAATCTTTCTGTACTAAATGATGTGGGAGAGTATTCAATGGGCGATATTCGGCTTTCTGAAGGGGTTAGAGTTGATAAAATCGTGGAATCTTCAATTGGCATTGTTATGTCATCTGAAGAACTGATTGTTGATGATATTATTAAAGGTTCAGATGATGTGTCATCATTTCGTATCGTGGAAAAATAGTCTTGTGTTGTGTATTTGTTAGCAAACGATGTGGAGGAATCTTGAATTGTCGATGCTACAATCAATGATGATATGCTTTGAGGGGTTGATAAAAGCATGTTAGTTTCCTTTGATGTAACCACATCTGTTTTCCCCGACGACGAGAAAGATGTCGCACCCTGATTTGATGGGCTATCAGAACTGAACAAGTTGCTTGAATCTAAGATTGTCGAGGTTATACCATCTGAAGGTTGAGATGGGGTTGAAATATATGAAGGATCAAATGATGTGCCCCCGTTCAGTAAAATAGGCATCGAGTATTCTGTCGGGAACAGATTTGTTGAAGCTTCTGAATTACGCAAAGAGGCAGAATCATCTAATGACGATGAAATGCTATTTGTGGTAGGAAATGTTGAGGATAAGTCAGTCGATTCAAGGGAGGTGGATTCGTTCGTTAAGGGTGAGGGCGAAAATGATATAATGGACTGAATTGTTAACCCATCTGTACTTAACAATGTGCTAGAAGATTCCACTTCTGAGGCTATGTTGTCTGAGGAGGGAGATGCTGAAGATAGGTCCGTAGATTCCAATGTGATGCCTATTGAACTTGCTGGTAAAGAGATTGCTGAAGTGGTATGAATTGATGAACCTTCAGTGGTTGACGGCGTGCTGGAATCTGAAATTGTTGAGAATAGGCTAATTGAGTATGGAGATGTTGAAGATTCATCCGTCGATTCCAGTGTGCTGAATACGTTTGATATCATTGATGAGGAATCTGATGTCATGGCAGGAACTTTTGATCCTTCTGTACCTAAAAATGTGCTTGAATCTTCCATTGTTGAGGATATGCTGTCTGATGAAGGGGATATAGAAGAAACCTCTGTCGATTTGAGTGCTGTGACTTCGTTTGATGTTGCCGATGAAGAGAATGCTGATGTGGATAGAAGTGTTGATTCTTCTGAACCTAACAATGCACTGGAATCTTCTATTCTGGAAGCATTATTCTCTGAGGTTGAAGGTGTTGATGATACGTCTGTAGATTCCAGTGTTGTGACTTTATTTGATATTGCCGATGAAGACTGAATTGTTTCTCCTGTATCAAACAATGTTCTGGAATCTTCCAGTGTTGTTGTAGTAGTGACTCCATTTGATATCATTGATGATGAAAAGGAAGTGGTGGTCTGAAATGTTGATCCTGCTGAACTTAACAATGTGTTGAAAGCTTCCATTGTTGAGGTTGTATTTTCTGAAGAGTGAGATGATATATAGTCTTTATTCAATTCCACTGTAGTGACATCGTTTGATAATGCTGATGACGAAAATGATGTAGTGATCTGAATTGTTGAACCTTCTGTACTTGACAATGTGCGTGAATCATCCATTATTGAGAATAAGGTGTGTGAAGAGGGTGATGTTGAAAATTCTTCCGTCGATTCAGCTGTGGTTATCGCATTAGCTGATGTTGAAGAAAAGAATAGTGTAGTGGCCTGAATTGTTGATTCTTCGGA